AGGGTGGGTAAGGGGTGAAGCGCTGGAAAAGTACCGAATATAAAACCTTTGGCATGGCTATTGTAACGTGAGGATGTTGCAATAAAAAGATACTTGACCGCCACATTGTTCCTTTTCTGCGGCGTAGAGCGAAGCACTGCAAGACCGCGGATTGCAGGGTTGTCTTATGAAACTTTACGGTTCATAAACCCTTCATATCGTTAACCCTGTTTTTTTTTTGTGTTACCATTGACCTCTTTCTTCCTCGACAATATTAGCAGACTTTTTTTTTTATTTTTGTGGTGACGCTTGCTTTGGCAATTTGTAAAAAAAAAAATAATTTGGAACAAAATAAGATGAGTCGTTCTAAACTGACGTAAAATTAATGAATGACATAGAGCAGTTTTTTTTTTTTATGAATTACGGCAGTGTAGAGGGATAAAAAAAAACATACGGGTGTAACCTGACTAAGCTTTTACTTCCCAATTTTTAGAAAAAAATATAGTATACTATGCTGAATTTTACACTCAAATAAATGTGATATCGTCTAGCACAAAAGCACACAAAGATTCATTTACCAGAACATGTGGCCTTACGTAAAATGATCATGGAGAGAAAAAAATGAGAATACCTTTGCCATATTTACACGATCACGCGACATCTCTGCGCGTTACTTAAAATGTTTGCAAATGTTAATCTTAAAATTTGAAGGCCGAAGCTTGTACAAACTCCAGGTATTGACCGAATGCCAACACTATGGCTTAGATAGTTACATAATTTACGTTTCATAATAGTCATGAAAAAAGAGAGATTGTTTTATTGAATTAACGCTCATTTAGTCTTTGAGAACAGACTTTGGGTAACGTTGGTATCAATTATAATTTGCGCAATAACAACATTTTGATAACGGTTAAATGTGAGTATTACGTTCCACACTGCACATCATGCGAGTAATATATTACTGCCGAACGTTTAAGCGGTCTTCATTTTTTTTACTGTTGTAATCCCCCATAAAATAACGCTGCAATTGAAGTACGGATAAATTTGAGAGTTATATGTGAATAAGTGGTATCGCTCAAAAGGATAGTGTATAATATTTATAAGTTATGCTGACAATTTTGTTTAAGCCCTCCAGCTGTACTTTACACGGATTCGTCGTATTCTGTGTACAGTGGCCGGCGAAACCAGCTGATACGTGCGAGCGGCGAACAAGCAGTACAGAGTCTACAGACCACATACTAACGGGCAGTGATATGCTGTTCAAATCTGTGGACGCATCTCCGCGCGCGAATCCTTGCCATCATTTGCTGCAGGCATGATAGAGTGCGTGTCAGCGTGCTTCTGATGCGCGATGTGTCATGAAATGTGTACGCGAATTTTTATAGCGTAGAAACTTAGTTAATTCATAAATGAACGTTGGGCACGCTGACGCCATTGAAGTCATAGGCAAAGGAATACCCGTAGTTGAGCGCTAAGCGGAAGTAGTATTGACAGAGGCAAAAGTGATCAATAGATAACCCGAAAATGTGCATCTGCATATAGAGGGACAGGAATTTTCGCGGATATGTTCAAAGCTTGTTTTGGCACCACAAGCCGAGAAAGTCAGGTGTGATATTCACGGTCATGGCCGAGCTCAACCTTGTCAGTTTTAAACCAGTGCCATAAATAGTACCATTTCTAGCTGGTATCAAAGTGACTGTCTCTATAAGCTAGGCATGCATTCAAGGGAGGAAGAAAGAATTGCAAACCCCCCCCCCCCCCCCCCCCGTTTCCCCCAGCAAGAGAAAGATAGAAAGAAAGAAAGGAACCACGGAGTACGAACAAAACACGCAACCGTTTTATACCACGCAAGAAAGTCTTAATTCGGCCATAGTACACAGACTCCTGTTCTATGTACAAAGCAAGCCACTTTGCATTTTTTTCCTGATATCTATCTTTTCAGACTTCTACTTTTTCCGTCACTTTTTTTCCCCGCAGCGTTTGTTGCTGTCAACCGACTCTAAACAGTAAATCCCGGTCATAAGAGCCGAGTGGAAAATATGGAAGACCAAATGTCAAGGTCCACCAGCGAGTCAGTACGGTACGTAAACGCATTCGCTGGTTTCACGCTACTTTCATTGCGCGGAGGAGTTACTGTGAACACCACATGAATTCGTCTTTGAATATCCCTAAAACAAAATTATACGAAATGAAATCTTTTATCGCCTAAAAACTTAACTTCAATAAGTCAATCCATATGTTCGCCCTGCGGAGTCCAGCCTTAGGTTGCAGCTTCAGGCGAAGTTTTTACAGCCTACAAGTATATAGTTTTGACTAGAGTGTTTTATTTACTCAAGCAAATCATAAAAATCCGGCGATGCGATGTTGTTTGAGCTAACCGTATTTTCCTTTGTACTCTCGCCCACGACATGAGCGAGAACGCGCAGTGGCACTACGTGGGAAATAATTGATGGCGCTTCCGTGCGTTCTCTTTTATACTTTTTGGCAAGTTCTGGAGATTATATTATCGTGAAAATTACAAATTCGAATGGGAATGCGGGTTATTTATTCGAATTCCGGCCAAAACCTCACCGAACACATCCCGCTGAACAAAAACTCATCTGTTTTCTGACAAAACTGGGCAAAACCTCAACAGGATAATCCTTTACTTGCGTCTTGATACGAGCTCATGCAGCTTAGGTGCATGTGTGAGACCCAAAAAGTAATGGAAACATAGATCTGACATGCACGTGGTTTGCTAATAATATTAAATGTTTCATAGAAGCGAATACAAAATCCTACTGCCTTGAGCTGGAATTGGACCATCTCTGCACAGTTGGAAGTGCCCGCAAATTTTGTTAAAGTGATTCCGAAGGCAATGTTTTGATTGTCGAACACGCTTTGCTGTGAGCTCACCTTTCTGTTCTTATGGACAACACTGTGGCAACGATTGCCTGATACTGCTGAAGGCACTCAGTCAACCTCCAGACGCTTCTATGTGCGTGCCCAACAAACTTCTAAAACCCGTTGCTCCAGCCTTCACAGGTGTTGTTCGTCCGTTGATACTTTTCGTAGTTTGACCTCGTGCACGTGTCAGGGTCCTGATTGAAACTCCTGTCGTCGTCTGCACATCGTCGAGCTTACTGGAGCGTTCATTGCAGATGCCGTAGCAGAATTAATAAGGAAAAGTTTATTGACGCATGTAGACTCGAATTGGCTCATCAGGTCCGCGATATTGCTGGTTGCCTCTCCCCTGGTGTAGTTCAGTTCATCGGGCAGAAGCTGTCAAGGGACGAACACCACGGCATCCAACACCTAGCAAAACTTTCTGAAGTGCCCGTCAAATTCCTGCTGGTCGAAGAAACTCAATTTTCGAATCTTCAATATATAAAACATAGGCCCGTTTTGTATTTCGTTCATATTATATGTTTCGTCAGGTGAACTTTCGTCCGAGTAGTCAGGAAACGGAGGTGTTAATTTGACCAGGTCTGTAAAAAATGGGTAAGATTTTGTCCGGTGAGCATTTGTCCGATTGCCGTTGTATCTTGGGGAAAGCTCCCCCCCCCCCCCCCTCCCCGAAAAAAAACCCTGACTATGTGTCTGATATGAGCACCTTAATATATCAAATTCGAGAAATCTGAAGTATCAAACGCGAGAGGAACAAACAAAACAGCTTTGCGAGCTTCGATTAATATTCTAGTTTCAGCTTTGTCATTTTTGGCGCTTGTGTTCAGTAGAGCAGGTCTTCGATATTTTTTTCTGATTATGGCTATTTTTTTCTGTTAGAGTTTTTAGTCTTGAGAGATTAGAAAATGTGAATAAACTTTCATGGCCACTTAGAAGTGCGTTTTTCTTCATTACCTCATTTGGTGAGCTCGAGCACGTAGCTTCCATCACCCTCTTAGCTTAGCGGCTAGCGGAATATAATCAACACTTCACCAAAGAGTTAGTGCGTTGCACTTCAACTCGATGCCCTCGCGGGCGATGTGCCGTAAGTAGCCGCCCCCAAGCTCTGTGAGTGGGTGATGATCGGGGTACTCATAATCCTGAGCTACGGTTGAAAGAACGTTGCTGCAGATAAATAGGGGTCTGTCAAGCCTTTCAGAGAGGGCCGTGATGCCTACAAATCCACAAAAAGTGTTCAAGGTGTCTTTCAAATTTAGCGTGGAAGAGCTGAAGTCAAACCGCACTTTAAAAAAAAGTTGGATGTTGAGTAGAAAAGCGCGTAAGATGGGAACACCTTTAGAAGTTCTGAAACTAATGCCGGTATAGAATAAAGCACAGAGCACCCACTCTACCGAAGTTTGAAGAAGTTGCAGCATAGGTTAGCGAACAGAAGCAAGATGCACCACATGTGCAGACTATGCACACCAGGTACGGACTAAGGCCAGTAAATATATTACGTTTCAGAACAACAAAATTAATCCACCTTGGTGTCTAAACTCAAAGTCGCCAGTAATCTGAATATTTACTTGTAATCGCAGAAAGCCTTTTTTCGCCCACTAGAGAGGCCAAAAATGAACCGCGACCGAGCTAAAAATACGACATCGTCTAAGCTACCTGACTATCTAAAGCTCAGCAAGTCGCATTTTTGAATCGTGAAAATTGACGATTGCGCCACCCCTGCTCTAGGCAACAAGACTGCGGTGCCCACAAGACAATCGAGCAATAGGGTATCGATAATCAAGCGTAGTGTATTAATACGGAATAAGGAAAACAAACATTATTACATAAATTAGTTTCGAGAACTCGGGGGAGGACCCTAGTCCTGGAAAAGCTGTAGAAGCTTGTATTTATTTCCTGGTACGCACAGAAAGAACCACATGACTTACCATAACTGGTTTTCGCTCACCAATATTGCATATGAGTGCTGTGGAATTTACTACCGTCATCATTTTACATATAGAAAGCAATACACTAAGCCCAAAGATTGGCTCCAGTCACCGATTAGGGTGCTGAACGAGACAACAGTTGCAATTCCACACATTTATTTTTGGCCCAGCAGGGTGGGCACTCTACACGATGGGTTCACGCAGACACTCTCAGCCGAAGTATCCGTAGCCTCCGTAGCCTCCATATCCGCCGTATCCGCCAAGACCATAGCCTCCATATCCTCCGTATCCGCCGAGGCCGTAGCCGCCGTATCCACCGTATCCACCGAGGCCGTAGCCTCCATAGCCTCCGTACAGGCCGTAGCCGCCGTATCCACCGTAGCCTCCATAGCCTCCGTAGCCGAGGCCGTAGCCGTAGCCGGCAAAAGCTCCGGCAACAGCCAGGCAGAGAACAATCAAGGATAGCTGCAACGAAGGAAGTTTGCAGCGTCAGTTGTGAGTTGAACTGCGAACAACCACTGTACTCTGAGACGGACACGTAAAGTAAATGTCAAACTTGGTGTTTAATACAGTTACTGTGTACTTTTGCGCGTCAACATTAGGTCAAGGTGAACGAGAAACTTCTCAAATTTAATGTCCCAATGCCCTATGAAAGTCTCGACGGAAAATTGAATTGACAAACTAGCAAGAACTTTATATTTGAGGTCTTAAATGTCTCCACACAAAAAGCAAATTTCTCCGACGTAGGTGAACCCTACAGAGGTAAAGGCTGCGATGTGATTGTTTACACATGCGAAGCCTTGGAACGCACTGCTTGGAAATGCTAGAGTGGCAGTCGTGTGTCATGCCGAAATCAAACGCTTGCGTTAAAACCTTTTTTTTTTTTTTAAATTAAGAATTCCAGAACTAGACAACTACCTGTTAGATAGCACGGCGGCGTGGCAACTGGTGAGGGCATGAACATTGAACTGACTATATGAATGCTCTGTAGTAGCTTTCGATGTGCGTTTCTTGTTACTCTAGTGAGTTTTTGTTGTTGCGCGTGCCGTTCTTGAGTTATTTTTCTATTATTGTTCTAAAAGAAAACCAAGTCTTCATTGAGGGGAGAACATTTTTTGACATCACTAAACGTTAACTTTAAATTAAATCAGCAAAACGTTTGATTGAACAAAAAGTTTTTAGGTGCCGAACATGGGACGATATTTACCTAACTTTGCTCAGTAAGAATTATTTGATGGTAATATATTGTCTACGCAAATATCTTCGTTTTGCATGTGTTCGCATTTTCACTTAGCCGCATAATTATGTCTTGTCGTGTAACGAAATAATGCAATACCCGGATCGACTTATTTAACAGCTAGCCTATGCAAACGTTAGCCTGGTTTAAAGAAGTGGGGTATCGGTATAAATCATAACGTTGTGAGCCCTATACCACAAAATTTAAACCTATATCCAATCATACTCCCGAAGTCACAAAATATTTACATTTTTTTATTAAAATTCAAATTCTACTCTACGTTTTCCTGTGTGCTCAAGATGACGATATAGTGATAGTATAAAGAACCACTCGTAAGAGAACGAATTTCGGCAACAACACTTGTTCAGCACTGGACCGTAGCAAATTGTATCCGCCCTTGGAAAAAACAAAGGGGCAGAAGGTCAATACAGAGTAGCTGCTGCAGATGTTCTAATTCACCGCGCTATTCTATCGTGCTCCTCTGCGATAGCCAATTTCACTGGAAGCAAAAGCACAAAGCCGTTTTAAATTTTTGTTTTAGCTTCTATGTATCTACTTTATGAGCGACGTATAAGTCCCGATGACGTCAATAAGGTTGGTTCAGACCTTCAATCAAAACTTGAAATATACACTAAGGACTGAAGAACCCGGCACGTTTGAAGTCTGGTTTGGTTTCGATACAAGTTGGGAGAAGTTCTATACCTTGACTGCGTCTTAATGGTACCGCTCAGCGAAGTTAGAATATTAAGTTTTAGTGGACCGTTCCGACTGCTTCGATAACGATACCTGTTACTCCACCAACGCCTATGCGCATGTATTGTATCGTCGTCGGGAATCGGTATCGGAGGTATCAGAACGATCCCTAAAAAGTCCGTATTACTCGCACGACGTTTTCTGGAGCAGAAGCCTGACTTACCGTGAACTTCATAGTGGCCGTGTGAAGAGTGCTCCTAGCTGCTGCGGCTTTGGGACTAGGTAGTTGTGAGTATGGTGCTCGGACTACGGGGGCCCGATGCTTTTATACCCTTCCCTCGCCCTAGTGAAAGACCGATTTTCTAGTAAAGTACTGCGTCGTTTCCGAGTAAACCAGTCTGTCGCGGCTGGACAGTCAAAGACACAAATGCTGCCGCACCACTCCCTTTTTACGAAGTATGCCAGCCTCGGACATTTAGGCAGAATGTTCCGGAAAATCCGACACTGCTTTCGAGAATCTATTAGTTCCGTCTCGTTGACTTGCCCGGCTCGGAAAACCGACGAAAAAAGGGGGCTTTTTTGCGACTAATATGCGTCCTTTCCTTGTTCATTGGCCGGAGAGACAAAATTGTCAAGACGTCGTCCAACGTGAAACGCCAGCAAAATCCATTCTGCTACCCAGGGCTGCACAACTCAAAAATAACGTGGGCCCAAAAAATTGTTTATTGGAAACTATGCAGGTTTTAATAACTGGTAGACGGGTTTTAAATATCTGGCACCATCGCACTGGTTGCAGTCTTGAGCATATCTCGCAGTGTCATGTCTGCGGGCCGCACAGGAAGTATCTGCTAGCCGGACGCGGCGCGCGGGCCGCATGTTGTGCACTTTTTTTTTTTTTTTTTTCGTGGGTGTAGCAGCTACATTCACGAAACAAAAAGTCTTTAGAAAAACAAATGAGTTTTGTTTGGTGCATACCGTATACGAATTAATAATTTTATGCGCGTGTTTTTTATAGACGGCAATACAAATTAAGAGATGGCAAAGCTGTGGTCACAATGATAATACATCATACAAAAGGCAGTCTGCAAACACTGTATGAGGCATGTTTCTTTATACTGTGACGGTCCTGTTATGATACTCATGCCAAAAATGTCTTTAGACATCTTTTAAACATGTATATTGTAAATAGGATACGAAGATGCTTGACAAGGGTCTCAGATAATTGTCATTATGTCTGTAGTGAACACCGTGGTTCTTCTATGATGTGTGAGCAAGTGTGACGGCGGCTTCAAGATTACCTAACAAAAATGTCCTGTTAATAACGTTATGGCTACGATAACTTTTTCAAAACGCACAACGATACGATACCCGCCGCCTGAAGTTTGTTTGAACACACATTATTGCATTATTCGGACGTTAACGTCCCGATCCATTATTTATACAGCATACCTGCCACGTTATTTTTTTTTTAAACACCAACGACTATATATTATCTTTCTTTATTGAATTATCTCAAAATAAAAAAAAAATAGTGTACATTTTGTGTCCGTGTAATATTTATCATTGTATGTTTAGTGTGATTTAGCTGTCTAAATTTAATGAAGATTTCAAACGGCCCTTTTCAGTTTGAAATTTAACGTTTTTTCCCCCCAATTTTACAGCATTTTGTTTTACTCTGATAAGCGTACACTAAAGAGCATTCGAACGGCTTGATAGGATGTAAACAAAGAACAAAGAGCGGGTTGGTGAAAGAACTGTGCTGTCTCTCCTTGCCCCTAAGTGTTTTCATTGTTCCTTTGATACTTGCAGGGTGTGTACTTCCTTCAAAACTGTAGACAATACAAAAAATGATCCGGTGACCACTGTATGAAAAACTCTCTAAGCATTCAGCATAGTCATGGTGTCCCGACGAAGTTTTTAGATGTGGCTTAAAAATATAACAACGTAAGAAACATGGATCCTAAAAGACAATAATAATAAATAAGAATATTAGACGGGAGATTATATTGTTTCTTGTGCTACGGATCTTATCAACAATGAAGCTCATTTTGAAGTAAACACCGATGCAAAGGTTTGGATGTACGTGAGCGAATTAAGTCCACTTGATTTTAACGCGAGGTAGAAGTACGGTCATATTAGACAACATTAAGCTAAGTGTAAAAGAGTAGCAGTAGACTGAAGTCACACCGAAGTGCAGGACATTAGACATGCCAGCATATACGCACGCAAGCTCGCACAAGCGTAAGCACATAACAAAGCGAAGGCAGGCAGACGACACGCACACGCTCAAACTCACACGTATCCGGGAACAAACTCAGGAAAAGGAAACATTTTTTTTTGGCATTCATACCTGATAGTTTGCCATCCTGCTTGCAACATTTTGGTAATCGACTGATTATCCTGTGAAATCAGCGAGAGAAGCCTTTAAAAAAATTGGAGATCAAGTAACAAATAGGCAGACGGGAGCAAAACGGAGGTTCGGACACTTTCCTCGGGCCCCGATCCCAATACTGCAGGACCCGAAAACTCTTGTCTACACAAAGAAAGGCACAGCAACGCAGATGCTTCGTCACGCACTTCCGGCGCCGTGCCGAGCTGCGCACTCCCGCCGCTGCCTCACTCAACAGCGCAGCAGTCATGGCCACCAGCGAGCCAGGGCGGTCTGCGCGGCGCACCGCCGCACTCCCTTTTGGCGCTGCGGCCGCTTCTGCACCTCTCGGCGCCGTGAATGCTTTTGCAGTCACATCTAATAAAAAGTGGTTAGGTGTCCTCGGAATTTTTTATTGTTTCTTCGCCTTTTCCTCGTGATCGCGTTCCGCACCAGGCCAGGCATGCTTCTGCATACGTCAAAGGTTTCCTTAGCAACGCAGGAGGTCTATGCGCCCTTTTTTAGGCGACCTGGCCCTATGCCACATAGAACAGAAGCTCCGAGTCTTCATATCTTAAGCGTAATCTCTACTGGGCTGGTTCGATTTACCTGCACAAGCCAGCGTGTATCTTACGAGTGACGGTGGCTGAGTCAAGTTGCGGTTAACTGAGCTCATCAGAACGAAAAAAAAAGCGTCTAGGCGAATCCAGCACACAGCATCTTCTGCCTTGCCAGGAATCGGCAGTTATCCGCCGATGTCAATGTTTCAGACAGGAGAGAGACAGAAGAGGGAAACACCGAGGGCCCCGCGCTCATTAAACCGGGAGTGTCGGGTGGCTCTCCGTCAGTCGGGGAACATGGCTCGTACCGCTGGCTTGTATGGCGCGTACGTAGCAAACGTGTACCTTGACAGAAAAGTGCAGGGCAGTTACTTCCGCTATGCGTTTTAATATACGTAGGCTGCACTCGTTAACTGAATACGGCTCGGTGTGCTGCCAGTGCAGCTGGTGCCGGAGGTGTAGGTACATCGATGGCAGCAACTGGTGGTAGTGGTGTATCCGCACAGCGCGGCCAATCTTGCGTCCGCGTCGCCTCGAGTGCGCCTTGCAGCGTCTCATAACGAGCGCGATGCTACCACACGGCGACGCCAAGATGCAGGCGTCTCTTTGTCACGTGCTCTGGTTGAGCTTCAGCGTGTTTGCCGCCTGGGATGGTATGGGAATCCACTAAGGATGGCCAATAATGCGCTGGCCTTGTCTACGAGGGGCCCGTCGACACGGTGGAGCCGTCATGTTCACGCCCCTCGTAGCGAGGTCACCCCGTCATCGCGGAGGCAACGTGGTACACAAGCTCCGAGCTAGTGCCGCCCTTTAGACCATGGCCTCCAGGAAACTGGATTACAAAGACGCCCCAGAACACGTTAACGGTTCGCTTGCCTTTTGCAGCTGAATGTTCTGTTCGTCGGTTTTTGAGTATTTGGTTCTCTCTGCGATGTGTGCTTAGGCCTATAAAAATCCGCTGTAATAAGTTTGAGTCTTTTGCACGTCTCAGATACTGTGCTGAATATATACTGCATTTTAGATTCACACTGCGTTGGCTAGGTGACGGACGAACGGCTTTCTTCAACCACGGTTTAGCAGGCGTAGCGCAAAACACTCACGGTGTCGGAGTTCGGTCTACGAAACCGCATGGGTTGATGCACGCACAAACTCTTCTGCTCAGAAAAAGATTTCAAAGACATCAATAGATTTGTGGGCTTTTAATTTCGTTTAATATCTGTCCTGCGTAAAATGGTTTCCACAGAACTGTCCGATAGGGCCCCAGGGTCACGTAGGTTTCGGCATGAAGGCCAAATAAAACGGGAAACGGTGCTTATTTTTGGCGTCGTATGACTTTTCTGATTTTCCGCTGAAAAAAAAAATAGATAAAGTTGCGCTGAGGACTTCAAAGAGCAGCCAGCGAACATTAAATTTCAGTAAAAGGAAACACAACAACGAAGTATTTTACAATAACAACGTTTGCTGTAAAAAAAAATAACGACATATTGATATTAAGATTGGCGAATGAGCAAGCTCTAGGTAAGCGTTTGAACTGAATGAGCAAAGAGCCCGTACCTGGGAGGGGGGGGGGGGGAGGGGGGGGGGGGGAGGGGGGGGGGGGGGGGGGTCTCCCAAGTCGAAGAGTGGGCGAGCCTTGCAACTTTTCAGTGCGAAGAAAAAAAAAGGTTCGCGGTTTACTGACAAGCAATGACTCCTCAAAAATCTGAAAACCATACAGAAAACGGAGCAAAGTTCTAGGGTTTGTTAAATACATTTATTTGGCAAAGCTCATTTTAAGGTAACGAAGAACAAGAGAGAGCGAGAAATAGAGAGACATACAGAAAAAGAGATGATAAGAAGTCGGAATGGTTTGATCGATTCAGTTGTCTTAACAGGCCACTCTGCTTTTTGTGATGAGTATTGTTTATCCGAAGTGGCCGAATTTTCCGTGTCCGAATTTTCCGTGTCCAAATCCACCGTGTCCGAATCCTCCGTGTCCGAATCCTCCGCCGTATCCATATCCTCCGCCATGTCCGAAGCCCCTGCCGAATCCGCCGTGTCCGAATTTGCCGAAGCCCTTGATGGCCAGTACGCTGGCAATCAGCAGGCTCAGCACAAGCAGGTACAGCTGCAGCAGGGAAGACGAGCAAAAGCACGGGAGTGAGCCTCACATGGTTTCAGACTACACGATCATCAAAGCAAACTCCCTCCCCCCCAAAAAAAACGAAAATGTGATAATCGTTTATCTGCCCCAAAATCGATTCAAACAATCAATAGACATACTTGAACTAGTACGCCAAACTACAAGTCACAATGATCTTTTTTTTT